TTCTTTCATTTTCCTCATGAACCTACTTCTTCAATAGAAAAATAATAATAACAATATCTAGAACATCGAAGCTTACAACCTGGTCCAGAAACCATCGTTTTCTTGTCACAAGAGTTTAACGACAGCCCTAGCACCAGACGTGGGGTATCCGAAAAAGCTTTGTTGATAGCCTAAGGAAGATTATTAGTGAATCCACTGTAAGTAGGCAATTAAAATACTCAGCCATATCTCCTATTGGTCTTTTATTGCCCTTGCATATTTCCCGAGCATGTGTGGGAAGGCATCCCAGCTTCCAATTACTGTTAGATTTTTGCACTAAAAAATGCTTCAAGGATAATCAAAATCTTGGACATACAAAAAAATCTGAGTATGGCAGCAAATAGATGAGCAAACAAACTACACAAAGCCATGAATGTCAGATGTATCCGGCATCTCTACTAGGAAAAAAATCAACATTAGTTCAAACCAATAATCAGAAAAAAAGAGAAAAATGGGAAAATGAAACTCTACCTTATACATACACAAGTCAGACATTCCTTCAAGATCCTCTATCAACCATTTAAGATGTATAAAATTGGTTGATACAATCTCATGTCTCGATCCTGAACTTTCCCAGCAGTTAAATCTGTATGAAGAATAGGAGAAAAAATGACACAACATTTTCCCAGATTCATACATAGGTTGTAAACTCACTATGGAGAGTGTAACGGGCATAAACAGCAGAAACATACCAACAGAAAAGGAAGTGCTAAGAAAACTGCGTGTTCCCTCTTAGTAAGATTTCTTTTACTTTATCCAGTAAAAAAAAAATAATTGAGATAAGCTACAAGTGGGAACCAGAACCACCATAGGCAACGAAGTCCTAAGGAACATTTGGAGAATATTCTATCAAACGGATGAAGATTTTGATGGCACGTTTTCTTTTTCAGGGGGGTTCATAAGTTATTGAGTAATTGGGTTTGTATTGTTTGTGAATCCCGGTTATTCAATCTTAGAAAAGTTGTTACCTTTGCGTTACTGTCCACACAAACACGCAACACAATTAAATTTACTCTTTTTAGATCTATCATTTCCCTTCCAACAAGTTAACCCAAAATTGATCTCAATAGCGAGAATTGATTCAAAAGGTTTCCAAAGGGGGAAAAAAGAGTTTATCAGTCATACACGACGAAAGTTCAAAATTATTTGGGGAAAAAAAACCTTTGAGCCAGAGCCATAAAAGAATACAGTTTCAAAGAATAAACATCCTCTCTTTCTGTCAACCCATACCCATCCGTCAATCAATCAAAAACTCAACAATTAATTTCCTTTCAACGAAACAAACTCCTATTAAACAATTCAACAAGGGCTTTCTTAACTCATAAAGCACTTTCTCAGCAACCAAAGAGCTTATAAACCCACAAACAGCTAATAAATCAAATCATCAAAACAAAAGGAAGAAACCCACAACAAAAACCATGAAATAAACAGCAGAACCATCAGCGATCCACCAAAATAACTCACCTGGACCCCGAAAAACTTCTCAGAAAACCCAAAACTCGGCAGAAAACAGGAGGATTTGGGATCGAATCAAAATCACAGCAGAAGCGACACAAAGGTGAGCCCTAGGTGGGTTCTTCAGTGAGGCGGGGAAACTGCAGAAAGCTTTCGACTTTGGGGAGGTTTTTTTTTTTTCGTCGTTGGTTGAAGAATATTTTACTATTCCTTCATTATAAAACTAGTAGCGGAAAATTGGACACGTGGCAGCAGGAAATGAAGACGGGAGATGGGATATCAGAATTCGTGGACGAGAGCTTGGGAAGAGATCCGATCAGTTTCACGAACGTGATTGGTTAAAATTTCGTAGTAATCGCTCGATTTGCGACACGTGGCAGTCCTGCTGGAAGATTCCTTCGTTTTTTATATTCAGACAGTGGGTGAAACAGAGCCTCGTGGTTTTTCTTGCTGACGTCTGATTTCCAATTATAATATATATATATTATTTATTTATTTAAATTATAAATTTTATATACATATATATATGTTTATGTAATTTGGAGATGTCACTTTCTTTCCAAGTTTCTTCTTGGGTGGGGTTCCTTTTTTAAGAATATGCCCTTTTTTTTAATACTCGATTTTTGTTCTTTTTTATCTCTATACTTTTAAAACGTTCATTTTGGAATCTACGATTTGATATCTTATTCGTTGTAGTTCTAATACTTTCTAGACCTCCCTTTTGTCTTGGTACTTTTTTTTATAAAATTATCATCTTAGTCTTTTTATTTTTATTTTAATCTCTTTTATTTTTATTATAGTTTTATTCTAAATTTGGACAAGGGGCTTTAGACGTGTATAAAATTTTTAAAAATTTTACCAATAGAAACTAAACAGGATCCATTTCAAAAAAACACAAGGCCAAATAGATATTTAAAAAAATACAAAATTTGACCAAAATGGATATTTTGAAAATACATAATTAAAATGAACCAATTTGGAGGGTACAGTAAACAAAATAATATCTAAATTTTTTTTAATGGCCCGCAATCTTTATTTGTTATTATTATTGTTGTCATCTTCCTTTTGAAAATGTCTCTAATCTTTATGGTTGGTTTCAAATTTCCCGCTTAATATTTTAAAATATTTTATTTTATCTCAAAAGTTTTAATTAATTATGATATATTTTGTCACGAGTTTTTTTTTTTAGGGAATGTCACGAGTTTCATTGTAATTGAGACGTTTGTTAAATGTGCAATGGTAAAATTAAAATAAACTACATGTATTAGTGGCATAATTAAAATCTAATAAATTGTGTGAAGTGCGCCTACATATGTGGTTAGGTTACTTTGTTAAATGAAATGGATGTTATATTATTTAATTAAGAGAACTAACTGCACACCACTCGAAATTTTTTGTCAAACTTCCACTCTTTCACATTATATTTGGATAAAATATACCTGCTTATTGATAAGTCGTTAGTTCATACCTACTTGCTACCATTAAAAAATGACAAATTAAGAGAGATAAATATATATATAAAAAAGAGATAAAATACAACGAAATAATTGTCAATTTTATGATAGTGGTTAGTAAGAATTACGTGTAAGTACTTAAGTTTCACGTGTTGCCTCGAAGTTATGTTTATAGTTGTGGTTTTGTCGTGTTCCAACATGACATGGTACTCAACAAGGTTTCAATATGTGGTTAGTCATTTTATTTTGCATGTACCATGCTGTCACTAATCAAGAGATAACGACAATAGAATAAAGTAAGAATGACGAGAAAAAAAATGTATGGTATAAAATTGTTGAAATGCATTATTCCAAATGTTTATAGTCCACCCATCCCTCACGGATTAACATTTAGGTAACTATGTGGATATGCATATAATTTAATTAATCAAGATATTATTTACCTCCCTAAAATTTGGAGATTCGAATCTCTATGACCTCATTTGGCATGAAAAAAAAATGGTTTGATGTATATATATTTTTTAAATGTTATTTCAGTATTTATATTCTCAACTTTTTGTTATTTTTTTTTTCTATAACCTCATTTGGAATGAAAAAAAAAAGTTTGATATATATATATTTTAAAATATTTATTTCAGTTTCTATATTATCAACTTTTGTTATTTTTTTTTCTCGAAACATCTCCAAGATGCCTATTTTGATCCCATCATTTTCATTTTTTCTCAAATTTTTATATCATAATTTTGGCACGAAGACTTCCCTGATTAAATATATTGAATATAATATAAATTTATATTAAAGAATTTCTATTAATTATAAAGATCTGTGTTAAAATAGGACGAAATTGGTCATTTTTCTTTTTTTAAACCAATAACTAAAAGAGTAAGAACCCACGCACATCCACTGAGAAAAAGAGACAGAGGACTGTAATTGGCCCGGCAAGGCGATTAGGGTTTTTCTTCAGCACTTCCGATTACCGGAACCACCGTCTGCGGCCGATCGACGACGATGCGCCGACTTCAGCTCTCTCACCTCTCTTCTCTCTTCCGTTCTTCATCTCTCTCACATGGCTCTTCTTCTTCTCCTTTTCGCCCCTCCATTTCCTCATTCACTGGCTCGGATGCTCGCTCTCCCATGGCCTCCCTCCACCCTCATCGATCAGATCTCACTGGATCCGTTCAACTAGACAACCAGGTTTCAGGTGACTCCTTTTCTCTATTTGCTCTCTGAGTCGGGAAATGGCAATTCGATCACGAATGTCCGTTCTTTTAATTTGTATTCTAAATGGGTTCGGGCGTTTCAGCATGGAAAAGTTTGGCCGAGCGATTGAGCGGATTTATTTTGGAATCTGTTGATGTTATCGATTCAATATGCTCAGAAAAAAGTGTTAACGATGTCATTTTCTGGCGGAGTAAATTTATTGAGTATTTTTTCATGGTGATGAATGTTTTGCGGATCGCAGGCTGTCTCGACCTTCCACAAGGTGATTCTATGGATGTTGGACGGCAGATTAAAGTAGGACGCGCTTGGAAAGCCTTGGGAGTTATGGGGCGTTCGAGGGAAAATGTCTCAGTTCCTTATGCTGTTAATTCTAAATGCTATGTACACTACGACAGCCGGATAAATGCTGATACAGGGAGGAACTTCAAGTCCATGAACTTCGTCAGGGGAATTTTAGAGGAAGATGGAAGGGATTTTATGGCCGGTTCTCCATTTCCTAGACCACCCAATATGGAGTCCAATGCTGATATTGTCCATGTAAAGCTGATGCGTAACAATACATTTATCACTGTCACTGACAACAAGGGAAATACAAAGCTTAAGGCCTCAGCTGGCCGTCTGGAAGAACTGAAAGGGGGGCCTAAGCTGTCCCGTTATGCTGCTGAAGCAATTGCAGAGTATGTTGGCCGCGAGTCTAGAAAATTGGGGTTAAAATCAGTTGTAATGAGGGTGAAAGGCTTTACTTACTTTAAGAAGAAAAGGCAAGCGATCATGAGTTGGAGAGATGGTTTTACGGATTCTAGGAGCGATCAAAACCCGATTGTCTACATTGAAGATACGACCAGACGCGCCCACAATGGTTGCCGACTCCCGAAGCAACGTCGCGTCTAGATGTATGATGCTGGATCTTGCTACTGCAGCGACAAAGTGGTGACAAGGTCTTAGCTTTGATGGAAAATTTTCCCTGGTTAGAAATGATGTAGCTAGCTTGCCTTCAAGTTTTTACCCGCTGATTGCAATAATGATGACAATTGGATGTTTTCTACATACTTTTATGTAAAACAAGTGCTATTTAGTTGGTACCGTTTGAACTTCATTTCAATAGATAAATTACAGAGACTTTTTCCCTGCAGTTGTGTACTATCAAGAATTGTAGACGCCCCATTTTTCAATCTCTTTACTTGGAAGTTTACTTTCTTCTTCTCAATTGCATCCCAGAATGTGTTGTGGATTCCACATTTCCCGGATCTTAATTTTGTGCTAGTCAGTTATCTCTCTGCCCCCCTCCTTGGAATTCTTGTTTTACCTTTTGCATAAAAAGGTTATGGTTTCTGATTGACCCGAGTGACCAACCATATGAAAAGGCAAGGGAAGGGGGCTGGTTTAGCTACAGGAAAGAGAGAGCTATTACAGTGGTTAGACCAATATTTGTGTGTGCTGAAATTTTCATGTAGATTTGCAGGCTTTTTGATCATCGATGGTGGATTTGTACTCTGGACCCTCAGCATGGAGATTCAGAATTGTTTTCATACAGAGAATTAGTGCTTCTCGATTCTTAACAAACGCATCCGCGATGTAATTTGTTACTGTCTTGCAGCACGCCCCTTCCCTCTCCTTCACGTTTTTAAGGTACGGTACTAAAGATTAGAGAACTTAGCATTTGCAGATGTGAAACTGGAATAATAGCGCCTTGTTTCTGTATATTATCATAGAAATTGAAAATGTTCTTATCCAGTCAGGTAGTATTCATGTTGACAGTAATGAACCCTCAAGTAGACCCATTTTTGGTGGGCAAGTCTTGAAATCGAGGCGCAGAAGTCTGCAGGAGTGTGATCTGAAGCCAGTATTAAACCACAGATAAAACAACTATCTACAACACTAAATCATTATGCATTTGAAGGTTTGATGGGGCGGGCAACCAAACTAAGTCAAAGAAAGTCAAAGAGTTCGTTTTAAGTCGTAACAGATCTACAGTGGGAATACACCAATAGAATTCACGTAATTTCAAACATCTCAGGCGTTAATCATCATGCAAGAACACGAACGAAGGTGACTAAATCAGTGACCAACGCAATTCGAAACCCTTGAAAAACCTTCCGAATGACCAAGGGTGTGACAAGGCTTCCTCTGAATCCAATTGGCCACAGAAAATCAAATGGATGTTGCAGCACACTGGAGGATGCCAAAAGACCATTTCGTTTTATTGGTTTTCTTGAGCTCCTTTCACTCGTGCCGCACACATATCGGTGATCTTCATATCTCATTTATTCTACAGTAAATTAGCGACAAAATTGAGCTTCTAGACCATATATGTCATCCCAACCTGCATCAGGTGGGTGTGGGGAACGCTCAAGTTGGCAATACCCCTCCTGCTGTTCTTTCTTAAAAATGCATAGAAGTAGTTGATCGCTAGCTTCTTGATGAACCAAGAATCCTTTCTTGCTCTAATATCTCCATGACCAAGAAGGTACACTACTCCTGATTCTTTAGCCTTTCGTATAAAAGAAAGCTCCCTCTCAAGTGATTGCTCTGCATCTGGGATTGAGGGGTCTAGAGATTCCACGGGCTGCACCTCTTCTGATGTGTTTATGTCTTCAGACATGGGTCTCATCGGAGCGCTGAGTTCGGCAAGGAGAGGAATGCCAAGTGAGTAGACACTTCCATTGGGAGCTATGAGAAGTCGCGAGCTATGGATCCCATCGGAATCAGTATCATCATCTCCATCACTCTCTAGCGACCTTTCTTGTGCTTCTCGACGGATGAATTTCTCAAGGCTTTCAATTAAGAGCTGCTCAAATGTCTGATGATTTTCTTTTCGGACATCCTTGTAACCGTACCTGTTTCAGAGATGAGCCCACAAAATGAGAACAGCTGCTTGAATGACCTTGTATTTTCAATGGTAGAGATCCCTTTTCATGGAAAGGATGCATTGTAGCCATGAAACATATAACATTTACTTGAAAATATTAGGAGTTTCATACCTGGCAATGCAACGAAAGATGTGATAGCTCTTTGGACAGACTCGGCGGAAAAGAAATCTCTCACTCTGAGGCACCACGGGAACTGGTACGTACTTGATACAGACAAATATGATCATAGAATGAACTGCAGGAAGAGTAGTCAGAAAATGGCCAAATATTGCAGGTATTCCTTTCACCAGTTCATTATAGAGCAACCCGATGCCAGGAGCTCTGATCGTCCCAAGATTGCACCCAAGTTCCCGCATTAAATCCATTGACATCTTTTGCTTGACTTCAGTTTCATACCTGAGCTTGCTTCCATAGTTCCAGATATACATAATGAAGAACATAATCACCGCAAAGACCAATATGATCCAACTTCCATCACCCACACCCCATAACACAGATGAGAAAAATATCAGTTCTATCCCAAGAAAGATCATCGCAAAACCCATCACGATGATAATATTTATCTGCCATATAAGGAGCATAACAATGGTTACCAACACAGTTGTCATCATCATCACTCCCAGCTCAGCGATACCTGCTCGAAAGATTAGTAGCATAAAGATTAGGTGGATTTCATTTACTATTTGGATAAGGAATCACCAAAAGTTTCCTTGTACTTCAAAAATATTGCATACAGTTCAGATAGGGTAAAGCAATTGAAGATGCGGATAATGAGAAAGTGAAAACATTACCATATGCGTTTCCCATCTCATACATGCTAGATATGGAGCAGACAACAACCAGGCAAACTGCCAATAAAAACCAATTCAACACGGGGATATAGATCTGCCCCATGAATTTCCTAGATGTATGAATGATCTTAAGACGAGGAAAACAACCAAGGGCTGTTGATTGTTTTATACATGAAAATGTAGCCGTGGTCATTGCCCGACTGGCAATTAATGCAGCAACGTTAGCAATGATAAAAACTGGCCAGAAGGCACTTTCTGTAGACAGAAAGCAAGAGAATTGCATAAGCAAAGTCACACATTGGAACTTAGGAAAATGTGAAATCATCGAGCTTTGCCAATCAATTAGCCTTACTTGGAATAGAATTAAAAAAAACATGCTCGGCTCCATTGTGGTTTGATATAAGGTAGGCAGCTTGACCCAAATAACCCAAGAAAAGACAAGGCAAGACGAGAAACACAAAAGTAAGCTGCAAACATTTGCTAAACAACATTAGACAAACAAGAATCAGAATATGCTGAAAGGTTGCAAAAACAACATCTTGACAAGTGCAAAGCATCATCTGGAAAGGATGTGCATGAAGTACCTAATTCAACAAATCTTAAATTACATCAACATACCTGTATTGATCGCACAGAGAAATAGCAAAGATCTGCAAACATTGCCTCAGAACCTGGTAATTTATCGTCAGAAACAAAAAGAGAGAGTTACAAAATCTCCATGCTGACCAAAGTCGCACAAAATTCAATTATTTAAACCAACATGTAATCACTAGTTAGATTCTAAAGAGTAATTAAGAAATAATTTCTTTCAGTGGATAAAAGGATCTTCCTTCGCTACATAAATAGCACTAATTTAATCAGTACTAGTAGGTACTGAATCACAATATGCTCCATGACTTTAAGAAACATCAGGAGGCAATTGATATAACAAATCAAAAAGCACAAAACACTGAGGCTGAAGAAAAAGGGCAATTGATTAAATCTGTTCTCCCTGATTGATATTCCCTCTCAAATTATTTTCACAGTTACTCACCCAAGTAATTATTACTAATTGGAATTGGTTCTCTTTGGGGGTAAATATCCTTTGGGGAGAGAGGGATTTTGTAATTTTGATTGTACCTTTTCACTATATTAATGAAATTATCACTTCTTTCAACAACAACAAAAAAGAAAAATTCAATAGATGTGTGTTTACCTGTAGCGCATAAAATACACCCTCCAAGACAATACCATGCATTGGTCGAGTTCCTCTTGAAGAAATAATAAATATGAACAGGATTGAATGCCTTCAAGACACTCCTATCATATACGACAAGATTATAAATCCCAAGGCCCGCAAGTGTACAAAACCATATGAATAATGCAGGACCAACAGCGAGCCCCACTTTGCTAGTGCCATACTTCTGAACACTGAACAAAATTATAAGAAAGGCAACTGAGATCATCACAGCCTCATCTGCAGAAACAACAAATAATAAAACAAAAAGTTATTCAGACTCAATATATATAGCAATAAGAAATTATGTAGAGAAAGATGTGCATCATCATTTAAATATCCTTTCTTTTGAATATTTTGACACAGCACTAAAGATAATGTAGACTATAGATATGCATAATTTGACAGTATTCTAGCCTATATATATGAAATTCATTAGAAAAAATATTAATAAACCTAAAAATTAGCTAGTATACTTGTTACTGATGCAATACTGAAACACGGGATATATAAAAACGGGTATGTTAAATGTACAGAAAAGCAATGGTATAAATAAAGAAATCTTCTGTTTGTACAGATGCATGTAAATACGACATCATAATTTAATCAGCTTGAAAGTAAACTTCATGCATAACTCTCTACAAGTGAAAGCTGATATATTATACCCATAAATTTTATTAGCCAGTATATGTGTTATTTTTCAATTTGAGCTATGGGATTTTCAGAAATTTAATTGCTTTCTCTTGTTATTATGTCCATGTCTTTGAAAAATTCATATGGATTCCAAATTATAGAAAGATCTCACACTCGATACACTTATCAAACTGCTGGATTTGTACGCATATTACGTTGACAAAGACACGTTATCCCCAAACCAAAGAATCCATACGTCATGAGCTTCAAGTATACTCTACAAGTCTAATTGGAGCAGATCATAAGAAGTGATGCACCCGATAACAAAATATACCTATTCAATTTAAATATATTCAATTGAGAAAAAGAAGAAAAAAGAGAAACTTTTTATACTAAATACCTACAGAAAATGACTAGCATACAAACGTGTTTTCTCCTCACGCCCAAGGTAACTCACAAATTGAATGAGAAAAAAAAAAATCTAATCTTCAACTGCATATCCACACACAAAACGTAACCCGAGGTTTCACTGTTGCATTATCATAGAACTCCTGACACTAGAAAAGGGAAATAGTATGAAATACAATAAACAAAAAACTGTAGTAAAAAAGTAGCTGAACATCTCTCATGAAATAGTTTAAAGAATGAACGAAGCTCAAAAAGAAACTCCCCGAGACTCATAAAACTAAATCTATCATCATCTTGTGGTTTGTTTAAATGAATTGCCATATAATATAAACTATATACGGTGTAAGATATTTAGGACAGTCAAACAGGTTGACAACTACCTTGGTTGATTGCATCCACTGCAATCTTTAGTCCACCGACAGCTGACATTACTGCAAGAGGAAAACATAATCAAAGGTTGTCATTACCCAGAATTAAAATAATAAATACACTCCTCAAATCTCTCACTCCATAATTGGCTTAGAAGTTGTTCAAATAAAAGAGCAAAAGGTATAAGGTAAACTAAACAAGTAAACGTTAAAATATTTCCTTTAGGGAATAAAAGTGTGATTTCCGTTGCCAGCATACAAAAACAAAAAAGACGAAGGAAATCAGCTAATAGTAAAGGGAGGATAAAAGTTTGTCTTCATCATCATAAGAAACTGACAAAAATAGCTTTTTTTGACCCAATGCTGGCAACATTAGAATTTAACCCGCAGAAAAAAGGAGAGATAGCATACAAAAACCTGACATTGCTGGTGTAACAACTCCATCAGCTATTACCATAGAAGTTCCAGCAAGAACAAGCATCAAAAGAAGCTTCTTTAAAGTCAGGGAAGCCTCAAGTTTTTCCTTTATTTTTAGTGATCTTTCCAATTCAGCTGATGGCACCTTCAATCTAAAACTTGATATTCGGGTATCCGAAGGAAGTTGATTTGGGAGAAGACTGACCTTGGCATGCCTACAGATCAAAGAGTACAAAGCAAAAGTACCACCTGCAAAAGTTGACAACTAAATAATGAAAAATCACACTTTACACTTCATCACGTACTTACATGCATGGAAAGATTGAATCATTCATGCGATGACTTGATAAATGGCTATCTGGAATAAATGTAGATTCAAAATATTCACTACATTCCAATGGAACTAACAAATTTTCTTGTCCAATGGAAAGAAAATTTGGAGTTATGCATATTGCCTCGGTATACTCCTATTACGGCAACCCCCTAATTACTGGACCAACCTTCGATGTTTGTATGCATGCTATTCAGAGCAGAGGGCATTGAGATAAGAACGATAACATTAGGCCAAAAGAACATGTAACTGAAGGAGGATAAGAGTCTTGACTAGGAGATTGGAGAGCTTATAAAAAGGTACTCAACTAGCCATCAGCAAAAGCACAAGACAATCACAAAACTCCTAGGACTTAAGTGCATAAATCTATACTATACCTTATAAAGATTCCACCTCTACGTAGTACGTACAGTTTGGCTTGGAAATGGCAAAAAGAGGGAGAGAGTGCAGGATATTTGTATCTTAAAATGTCATACCAGAAAAATTAATGCCAGCATTCTTTTGCTAAGAGAGTCACCCTCATTATGAGAAATGAAAATACAAAAAGGCCAAACAAAAAAGCCGGCTAAAACCAATCAAAGAAGTTCCTAGAAAAAGACACGTGAATGTTAGAGGATCCTTGAAGCAAAAAAGAATGATAGTGGCATTTTCAACCAGCAAACAACTGGCAGCTCCTTCAAGATAAGAGCTGACAAAATGATTGCATCAATAAACATAAATATGAGCATGCACAAGGAGTAATCTTTCGTATATGACATTTTAGAAAACATACCTTCACCATCATCATTTGCCAAAAGAACAACAAGAACATACTTGACTAATGAAATCAAGATTAAGGTGTAGATGACTAGTGATAAAGCCCCAATAACATCTTCATCTCCATTAATAGGAACTTTGTTGAACATGACGCTGAAGGTATATAGAGGACTCGTCCCAACATCACCAAATACAACCCCAAGGGTCTGAAAAGCAAGGGCAATTTTCTTTCCCACGCTGAAGTCCTGAAAATAAGTTCAGTAAATTAAAGATATTCTACTTATCTTATAATGGCCCATGTAAAATAAATCAGATAACTCCTTTTTACCGTGTCCCTTAGAAGTAGAAGTTAAAAGAAAATAAAATGACAGCTGCAAGATTCCCAAAACAAAAAACATAACCAGAGAAGCAAGGAAGGTAACATCCCCAAATTTAAAGAAAACCCTTACTTCCATCCTTCAGATATTTCCAAAAATGGAAAAAAAAAGTAGCTAGATTATTACATTGCGGTAGATCTATTTGGAAGAAAAGCATTATTTCATACAAAAAGAGAAGAGTGAAATTAAAATAAAGGAATGCCCAAGTCACCAGAGCCCAAAAAAGAGCATGCAAAAATTTGTGCATCAAAATACTTCCATTACCCATTAATTTATGTTATAGAACCACCATTCCCCTCCAACCAAATATCAGATTCAAGAAAAAGTTACATATCTTGGACCGAAATTTTATAAGAGACTCCCAGACCACTCATGATATAGCTGCAACAAAGAACGTAAGTACACCCCGTATCTCCATTTTTAGTCAACACATAATAGACGTTGCCATTTGATCATCAAGCTATTAAGTAGTTTGACCAATTCTTGTGAAAAAGGTAGCTCATAATCTGCAGACACCCAATAATGCTACTAAATATTCGGCTAACTTTATATTTCACTCCAATCCAGTTACTATGAAACGAAGATCGCGATGTAAACTAAATTAGAACTTGGTTTCCAGCTCAACATCGGTAGACAAACAAAATAGAAGCGAAAAAATGCAGCTAAAATTGAAAACTCATAGCACCTCGTATTCATTTCTATGCGCCSCAGGGACCTCAAGGGCTTCGACATCGAAGGAATCGATACGTGGTCCAGTCCGAATCAATTTCTGCTCGACATTATCTTCCTCCTCAGATTCCAAATCCAGGCGATGCCGCGCTGCATTCTCGTCCTCGTCGTCCTCCTCATCGATCTCCGATTGGTCATCGTCCTGGAATACCCATCGGGACTCCAAGGAGTCCATCGAGCCAAGCCCACCATTGGTTTCACCCCGCTCTAATTCGCCCTCCGCCATAACCCCAGCAAATCCTTGAATCTTCGAGATTGGAGGCGAGGGAAGAAGAGTGAAAGCAAACTGAAAGGGATAAGATTGAAGGAATCGAGGGGTTGAAAGAACAAGAAGAAAATCGAGTGGTTTGCTGTGGATTGGGCAGAAGGATTCGATTCCGATTTGCCAAACTTGGAATTGGAATTGGAATTCAGTGAATGAAACGTGAAATGGTTGTTTTTTCAGGTGAAACGAAGTACGTTGGAGAACACACACTGCGCGCGACTATGGAATCTCAAGAACAAAAGAAGATCAATTCATCTCTTCATAATATTATATATTATATATATTTCTAATATTAAAAAACTATTTACTTAATTTTTAATTTAAATACTATTTCTTTTGTTTATTAGTTTAAAAAGGTATATTATGTTGAAAATTGGTTTATTTTCATTTTAATCCTGTATTTTTTAAAAGTTTTCATTTTAATTTTTTTTATCGCATATCTTTCGATCATAATTTTTGCAAGACACTTCATTTAATCAATTTCTTAGCACCCTCATGATGTTGGGACAGTGGCAAGAGGCTTGACACCCAAGATCCAGATTCGAACCCTCATGTGTCTAAAAGTGAAAAAAAAAATCAATTTCTTAAAAGGGAGCCATAAAATTGTATTTAACAAATTTTGTTAGGTATAAAATTTAATTTTATAAATAGGGACTAAATTGGCCGCTTTTTAAAAGTACATGAAGAAAAATAGACAAATGTCAAAAGTACAGGACCAAATTGACGTTTTGAAAGTATGGACTAAAATAGTATTTGAACCTTATTTGATCAACAAACTTTCAAAATCGTGTTTATTTGATCCACATATCTTTAAAATTGTGTCTATTTGGTGCTTGTTATTGTTTCTAATAAGTTTATATCCTTCAATTTTGTATCTAATATGGTCGGGATTCAAACTTGCAACATTTTGATTAGAAATAGGTGCTTTAACAAGTTGAGTTATATTCAAACTAATGTCTAATATGTCTATATTATTAATTAGTTTATTTAAATTTGGGTCATCAACTATATTTAAACATGATTGAAATCACCGCCTGTCGTATAATTCTTAGATAATATGTATGTTTTTACAATATTAAACTAACAAAGTTAACGAGAAAGATGTACTATATACAAAGTAGAAAAAATATAAAGATGTATTAAAAAATTTAAAAGTATAGGACTACATATAAAATAGAGACTTTAAACTATAAATTAAACTTTGAACGTTTTAGGGACCAAATTTATTGGAGAAAAAAAAAAGGCATAGAGAGTGGTTTCATGCTGTCTGGTGTCTAATTCCCAGTCAGCTTTTTTTAATTCCTTTATTTATATATGATTTATCAACTTCATATTAATAATTCTGAAAAATATGATACGGAATATTTTTTTCCCCTTTTATGTACCCAAAAACTTAATTTTGCTTAGATTCCTCAATTAAANAAAAAAAGTAATGCTTTTAGATATCCACGAGGTTCATAAAAAAGATGGAGAATAAATAACTACATTATGAACACGCTTAACATTATACAAACTATAGTTTCAAAAATTCAGTCATACCTCAACTAGTTAAGACATATATATTTTCGACTATAATGTTGAAAATTTGAATCATCACATTTTCGACTATAATGTTGAAAATTTGAATCATCACCTTGACACGTTGAACTAAAAAAAATTAAAAAATTCAATTTGAACATTACTGATGAGATATTTATTACCGTCTAAAGCTTGATGGTTCGATTTTCACCCTCATTATATTATATATATTTAGGCAATTTTGGTTCAAAATGTGAAAGATATAAATATAGGACTTTATTTTTAATATAGGAATTAGCTCAATAAGGTGTAACACCTATCTCTTTTTTTCGAACATTAATGAGAATTGTAATTATCTACCTAATTTCTTATTAGTCGTAATACAATTTGTCGTTTATAAATAAATAAAAATTATTAGATTTGACATCTAGATTATGTCTTGTCATTAAAAATGACTTTATCTCAATCATTACATTGATGATTATTGAATTTAACTTAGATGATTATTGTTGCTGACTTAATATTTTTTACGTAACAGATTAAAATTAGTGGTTGATATATTTTATCTATCATTTAATTTTGTTGCATAAATTTGGTTGTCTTTCTCACTCTTCTCTCATTATCTCATATATCCATTTCTATCTTTCGGACTAATTTTTGTTATTTGGTTACTTTTATTATGAGTTTTGAACTTTCAACTTTTTTTTTAATTATAGGTATTCTACTTTTAAAAATGTAGTTGTTGTAATTTTAAAAATTGATATTTTAGTCTCTTAGTTTTCATTTTTATCTAATTTCTTTCAATTATAATTTTAACACGACACTTCGCTCATTAAAATTCTTGAAGTGTAGTAATAAATTTGTATTAAAAAATTTCTATTGTACATAAAATTTTACAAAATAGAGACCGTATTAGTCACATTTTAAAAGTATAGGAACCAAATTAGAAATTTTGAAAGTACAAACACTAATATTGAACCAAACTTAAAAACACAAAACAAAAATGAACGTTTTAACAAATCGATGAAAATAGTATTTAAACCCATTTTCTAAGCCCGCTCTTCAAGTATTTTTTTTTCTTTCTAATTTGTGCCATTTATATTTTGAACTTGTGTAAGCAATTATTATAACTTCATTAATTAACTAAAATGATTCTACAAACTTTTTGAGGTTCCCATGTTTTTTTCTCCTCAAAGTACCAATTTAAGTCCCAATCATCCAAACTGTTCATGGCTCATAATAAATTCATGAAACAACTATGCATTTAATGACATTTATATTTTTTACAAAACATATTCTGTACTGAGGAAAAAAAAAAAGAAACATATTCGGTACTATCCAATCATACCTTTTCTATATGATTTCGGCAACATCTAATTTCTGTAGAGGTCAAACAAACCTTAAAATTAAATGAATAATAAATAGTAACTTGACATTCTTGAGTTTTTTTTTTTTCCTTTTTTATAGCAAGGGAAAAATATAGATCTCACATATCAAGATCAAGACACAAAAGGAACAAAAAAAGACCTGAAAAAAAAACATTATTAAAGTAAACAAACATCATAAGAAACATTATGCACATAAGAACTTGAGCCAATATCTCTGTGTCAACCAAAATTCACAAAACGCATTCCTCGTCCTATGTCAATTAAAAAAAAAATTTATTATTTTACACAAGAACCCCTAAGTTGAAAAGTTTCTAATATATCTAAAAAATAGAGGTGGTCAACTTTATTTAATCAAAATGGAAGGCCACCATTTTGATGCATATCATCACTTTATGTTTTGCATTTGCTAAAACAATGATTAACAAAATGGTGATGAGATGAAGACCTTCAGTTTCATCTGATTAATGTTTGATCAAACAAAGAAGACCTCTCTCCATTGCTGAAGAAAATAAGGTGATCCCAATGGTGCCTCTCTCCTTGGTTTGATATAATTTTGGTTTCTATTTACCTTTCCTTTTGCTGGTCTTCTAGAGATTTTTTTCTGTTCTGAGAAAACCTTAATCTCAAAAGAAGTGAGTTCGCCATAACTCCTATAGAACTCAGACCCATTAGGGCACCCGCAATGGATGGAGTGAGTATAGTCCCTGTTATAGGAAGCAAGACGCCTGCAGCAATTGGAATTCCAACCTGAATGGAGATGCAAGAGGAGCGAGATTAGGCATTCATAAAAAGAGAGCAGAATAGAAAATGCTTCCATGTGGTGGTGTATCAAAAATTTATTTGTAACTATAGTTTAGCCATGATTATCTGTGATTGGAAGGCTACCCTCCGTTAGTTCTTTTGGGAAGCGGTCTCCTAATCCCCTGCCCTTTTCCTTATTACATTTTTTGTTTCTTATGAAATGGATCTTTGGTTGAATTCATGAAACTGAAGGAAAAAAATCCCCCATATTTCTAAACTATAGAAGCTGAAAGTCCAGAAGAAAATGTGGTTTTCTTCTTGGTTGACCATAGTAAGGAGGATTAACACTGTACTTTATTAAAAAAAAAACCTGTCAGTTCATCTGTTTTTCTAGATCAACAAAGAATGAGGGATTCGAAACTTTGACCCTAAGAAGATAAGTAGTGTCTTTACCAATTAAGCTATACTTGTGTTGGTAAAATCTTGAACCCTAATTGGCGTATTTTGTGTGAGTATTTCAGGAGTTGAATCATATGGTGTGGTTTTGCCTGTTTGCTTTGAAGTCGTGGGTGGGCCTTTTGGCAAAGCTTTTGATATGATTCAGGGAGCAAGTTGGCGGGCTATGATGAAGGACATCGTGTTGGCCTGAAGCCTCCTTTTCAAAATAAGTGCCATTTTCTATGGCAAGTGGTTTCTTCACTATGGTGTGGATTTTATGGTTAAAAAGAAACAACTTTTTCAGGTGTTGACAGCACGCGGGAAGAGCTTTAAGGTCTAGGACATTTCAACGCTGCTCTATCTGCTCAAATCATTTTTTTTTCTTTTGTAATTATTCTTTGTTTTTTATTACCAAAAATGACGGATTGTTATTTTAATTTTGTTGTCCCAGGTTGATTAGGCCGTGTTTTAGTGTGCCCACTTTCCATCATTTGTCTTAACAAAAGTTAGGATTCTTTAATAAAAAAATAAAATTGAACAGAAAAGTAGTATATATTCTCCCTAAGATTCTTCTGGGAAAAAATAAAGGCTGTGGGCTCAAGGAAGAAACAGAGTCAGATGAAATGAAATTCAATGAAAAAGTAAAAGAGAACAGAGCTTCTACCTGATAGATTTTAATATCTCTATCTTAAAAACCTAAAACAATGAAAATCTAAAGGGAAGTTCTAATGTTTGGTTGCAGGCAGTATTTGTAGTCAGAATGAAATTTTTCTAAGACAAATTAAAAAATGCGCAGCAGCTGGGTGATGGTTAAAAACTTACAATGTTGTACCCAAAAGCCCACCAAAGGTTTTGCTTCACGGTCTTCATGGTCAACTTGCTAAGCTCCAAAGCATCAAGCAACTGCGAGGAAGTTCAGGAAATTACAAAAAAAGATTATTTGAAGATAACAATTAACTAGAAAACTAGCCACGTAGATCATGTTTGATTAATCACAATTTGTTTTTTTAGAGAGAAATAATTTCATTGATGATATGAAATTACAAAAGTGCCCCTAAAAAGGATTAGGGAAAGCTTTTCCATCTGAACCTGAGAGAGGAAACGCTATAGTTGTTAAAAAGGGGAGGACATTTACACCAAGAAATAGCCA